TAATATAATATAATATAATATAATATAATGTAATATAATAATGATGCAGACCGCGTGAAACAAGGAGTTGATGTTCCCATTTTTCAGTAACATTTTCTAGTCCGAATTACAACTCTCCTTGCCAAGAAATAGCTCTAAAGAGGAGCACTACCTCCCAAGATAAATTGTTGCAATTCGAAAATTTCCCATATTCTTCCCGTGGAAAACGGAGGAGAGACATTTTCCAGTTCAACGGGATGGCAGACCGCGATGGAAGTGTCCCATGTCAGATCTGCTTGTCAACTATCAACTACGCGAGCTCATATTGTAAGTGTAGGCGATACACTAACACACTGAACCCATTGAACCAATAAGTTAGCCTTGGATGCCCGCAGAGCGGCTCACAGTCGAAGTACCGACCGAAGGTCAGACGTGTAGTGGATTGGTTCCAAATAATATGCTCATAATGAACTAACGCTGTGAGTAACGGAATTGTAAGAATACTAAAAAGGTGAGGCAATCACGTCGGAAAATGAAAAATTTTAGTCCACACTTGCGAAATCTGTGAAGTAACGCCCGGACAATAATGAAATTCCATTACCCGAGTACAGAATGCATCTTCTACGGCTCTTATCGGTAAATTGGTTTTTACAACGAAACACCCTGTCGAGGAAATAGTTTCGTAGCCTCGAGGTGGCGTTGGTCTTTAGTTGACAGCGTCGGATGTTTCTGGAAGTACGGCTTCATCTGAGGACAGTTTGGTCCCAAGTGGAAATCGGCCTTGCAGGTGAAAGCGCCGGAACTCCGAGAAGCACATTACATTGATCTCTTAAAAAAACTCAGATACTTTCATTAGGCTGTGAAATCAGAGTCGGGATTGTGGTTGAAGCAAAAAAATCAGGTTTTGCCCACACCCCGAGTTTACACTACAAAACCACTGGTTGCTTTCCTCTTCTGGATTTATCTTAATCTAATAAACAAAGGGATGAGCGCAGCATACCGAAAGAGCTGCCATCAAATTGACCAATGTCATTTTTAAATGCCCCGTGGCTAAACCTCACTCACTTCGTATGGCCTCCATTTGTCTGAAGCAAACCTCTTCTGTTTTACCCGCCTCTCGTTCTTCCAACTTCTCTCCGATGCATGCGATGACATTAACACCAGCAGATATTGCATGATTTGTCTTCTCGCCAACCAGCTGTGAAGTGACCGAGAACAGAGAGACAGAGTTTTTCAGGTGACTGAACATAGTGGGATCCTTCATGGACGACCAGAGTAAGGTATCTGTGCTCAGAGTTGGAACTGACGTTACTAATCAATGATCTTAGTGACACAACTCAGTCAAATCGATATTTCAAGAACAGCCGAAAAAACACTGGTATACTTCTCAGTAATATTACCAGAAACTTGTCTGATACTGATGCATACAGATTTGACTGTGACGAGAGACTCAACTGAGTCTAACTGAATTGCTCGTTCAATTGATGAGCCCCGAGAAAGGTGATCGTGAGCTATCGAAATTCTCAGCAACCTTGTGAGTAATATGGTGGGTTTGGAGAAAGACTTGGCTACTTTATACTTCATAATTCCCTTCAAATGGACGGTTGTAGTCATTGCTGTCGTCCGGGGGACTACCATCACCAAAAACCCACAAGGGATTTTGTGATCTGCAACCTCAAGAACCCGATATGGATCGCCGCATCTCCTCTTCGTTCTTTTCATTAGCTAATTTTGTTTTGTATGTGTTTTATTATACTGAATTTTATTGCGTTGCACCGTTTTAGACGGAATTTCGTTGTACCGCATGTTGTGCGTATTTCATGTATATATCATCATCACCATCATCATCACTGTCAGCTGTAATCACCACGTACTTATCGTACAGTGGTTGTAGCTGCCACAGTTCCGTTCACCGATGATTCGAGGAGGTGGAGTAGGTATACTTCTGTGAATGGCCCGCATCAACAGTCAGTGCTTTGTACAACCACTGCCGTATAGACAAAACTGATTACTGGCTATTCACATGTGTGCGCTTATGAGGGCTGCGGGTTGGTGGACCACGCTGAGCACACTCTGTGAATTTCAACTGCTTCAATGATCCCGTATGATTTGACCACTGAGAACCGGTGGCTTTACAAATGTCCTATCTGGTTTGTCCTCAGTCTTACGCCGGGTACAGGGCAGAACTGTTTGTGCGCAAGGATCTGTTGGTATAGTTCGACGTGACTAGCAAATTCAGGAATGAGTGCCAACGCACCACATCTCATTATCAAGGAATTAACGGTGATAAGGCTGTCTTCAAAGTGCACATTCAGTTAAAGATCATGAACGGGTGGTTGCTTTAAGTGTCAGTCTAACATCACCTCAGTCTGCGACAGAGCATCTGATTCCACCATCACTTTCCTTTTCGTGAGTCTCACTGTACCACAGATCTGTTATCAGAGGAAAACCTATGGAGTGCTGTATGACTACAGGGTGGGGATGATTGTTCGTTTGGATGACGCCTTAATATGAGAATGCAATACTAAAAGGAAGGCGTAATAAACTCTCGAGTCGTCCGAAGCCCCACACTGAACAAATGATCGGGCAGCCAAAATTGTGACTCAATCACGTTCGGGCAAGCTATATCACTGCATGATCAGTGAAAAAGGATGAACGAGAATTTCCTTTGGCCTATTGGCTGACGGACTTTTTTTAGTATCATTAACTTGGTTTGGCCAACGCGTCTACGTTGAGCGAGTGCTATGCCACTCCAGCGATGCACGAAAGCCTAGATACTGTCAAAGTTCTCAACTGTAGAAAGGACCCGTCGAGATAGCTGGGTTGGTTTCAAACCGTGAACCTTCCGGTTGGTAAGGTTCTTCCTTAACCACTGAGTTACCTGCGGTTCACAGGTAGACGATACGTATCAGAGCACCATAAGAAGTGTTGTAGGAAGTATTAGTGGTCTGCGAAAAAGGTGCATCACAATACAATATTTACGTTGAGTTGAGAGTTGAATACGGTTATCAAAGCAGCGGAAGTAAAAAGGTGAACTGTTCTGCTGCCAGGAGAAATCCATTGGTCAAGTAGACCCTAGGCACAAAACACCTTCAGGTGGGTCATCAGCAAAAACGTTTCAAAGGACATTCCGTGGAAATGGCAGACCGATTCGCTATGCATTAGGAGAAAGCATTGTCTGAAATACCCACCAGCGAATGTTCTACAGTGGCAGACGAGACTCGGGACTGATATACGAATCCAAGTAAGAGAACATGCAATCACTGAAGATGGCAGTTTGGGGAATGGTGAATGGAAGGGCGAATGGCGGATGATCAAGAGGGCAGGAAGTCACCGCGTACAGAAGATATGGTACACATTCATTTTGCTTTGTGTAGTAAAGTATCCCGACGCTCGGTAAATTAAGTTGGACTTAACAGACTGAACGCTTTGCATCGATTCCTTGTACTGTGAAGAGATTTTCCGGAAATCTAGCATCGCACAATGTCTATGCTTTTACTACTCCCCAGAGTTAAATAAAGTACATTCATTACCCTAATCAGATTGTAGTTATAGCTCTAAAACGGCAAACGAACGATGTTTCCACCTGATTTTGGCCTCCATCAGTATAGGCTCTCTGGGCAAAACAACAGGTGCGCTAAAGTGCCTTCTCTTCCCCGCCGTGAGACACCCTGAAGAGTGGTTGAACCGGAGAACTTCTCCGCATCTTGATATATCTGTTTAGAGGGATTAGTGGACTCGGACCAGGGAGGCTTTTAAGTAGATACTGTCTATCAGTGAGCATGCGAAAAAAATCAGACCACGAGATATAGAAAAAAATTCCTGGAATGCCTTAAAAAAACAGTGACAGTGAGGACTATGCGAAACAATGCAATGAAGCAGATAATGACGATGCTCAAGAATAAGGCTCTCACTTGGTCTGTCTCCATCAGAATGTGACGTCTTTCTGAATGACCAAGAATAACCCAGTCGCAGCCGACATCTTTGAGCATAGCTGGACTGAAATGGGAAGCAACGTGGATATAAATAAGCGCAGATTTTAGAAACCGCGACCAATCTTTGTCAAGCTTACTGGTAGAAAGAGTGTCCAGCAAACGGTCTAGTATTGATTGTTTTTGTTGGATGACTATCTAACACCAGACCGAGTCAGTGAGATCGAGTTTCAACTCGACCTTTTGTGCACCAAATTTAGAATCACAGGGTGGGTAGTCATCAACGTGATCAATATTGTTGACAACAGTACACCGATAACCAATGGCGCTTAGCTGACATAACAACAGTTAATACATATTAAGTTACTCATATACAGCAGGAGGTTTATTGAGACACGGTTCCCCGTAGCCTATTGCAGTGACTTAAAAAGGGCCGTGTGTGCATCCTCTCCGGATATGGAACAAACTAGTCACGTAATAGGGAACAGTGCATCGCGCGTTGTAAACGTAAATTTAGTGAACAGGACAGGGCAAAATTTCGCGAATAGTAAATGACACAGAGGGCACCTACTGTAAAGTGGAGCAGGAATTTCATTCATATCAGATGCAAAGTATAAAGAATAAAACTGAGCTGAAATTATTCTGAAGCACATATAGGGTGGCGCCAGGTCAAATTTGATAGTTTCGACCGGAATGATGTTCACGAACAAAGGAACTACTGCCCGGTCTTCAAATACAATGTAGACAGTAGTCATCAAACTTGTCAGCCATGAACTAGTTCCCAACATGTTAGCCCAACTTAACCAATATCCGTTCCGATCTCTCTCCCTTCCAGCTCCTAGCTGCCATACCACTGGAAGGAAGTACTGGGGTGGAGATAGTCTGTTTGGTTGCCCAAGCCCGGACAGGGGCGCCTTAACCACCCAGCTAGTTTAAGCCCACTCAGCGCGTGTGCAAAGAGGCCGTTCGTTCGGGTGCACGCTATTCGAGAGATTTTCAAAAGCAAAAATAAACGATGCTTCAGCAATCGGGTGAAATGAGCCCACCAAATGCATCAGACCAATACGGTTATGGCTTTCCGTTAGTTCAACTGGAATTTCTTCAAAATCCTAGATAGGTTGAAAACACATGCATCCGGTTTATCAAACCCGTCAGCATCACATCAGACAGAGGACACGAACTGACTGCAATCTTTGAGACAGCGACATCAAGATGGAGATTCACGGACCAGTTACATGTGATCTTTCCGAATGAGATACTTGAAAGCCCAAAACATGTGTGCTCAGTTGTCAGCCTCTACAAGAAAAATTCGAATGAGAAAGCTAGTTGCAGTCTTCTTAAATTACACTGCCCAAAAGGATAGTAGGAATCAAAACCTGTTGTGTTTCAGAACTTAAAACTAACGACAAACTTCGGTTTGGTCCTAAAAAAAAGTCCGTTTTCTAGTACCCTTTGGTCTAAATTGTGTGAAAGTTTGCGAAAGCATAGCTTTTTCTGCTACTGTTTATGCCCGTAAAATAATATAAGAGCGTGACAAAAAGCACGTGGAAGGAACTTTGCAAGTCATGTGACAGTCCGACACCACGCATTCTGAATTACGCTGGTCAACGTAGCAAGCACTGGCAACAAGCTCCGGCATCTGGTGCTCTGAAGAAGTCGATTCCAAAATCTGTTTTTCGATCGAGGCGCATGAATATTCATCACGCTTTTGGACAGACATGGTCACTAGATTATTGAGGCATTTGATCGCTTCATAAAAGGTCATTGGAGAATAAATCCAGTAATCCGACAGTCATATTCGGTGACTTTTCAGAGTCATCATCATCATCATCAACTACAGCATGCGCATGAATACACGCTTTTGGACAGACATGGTCACTAGATTATTGAGGCATTTGATCGCTTCATAAAAGGTCATTGGAGAATAAATCCAGTCCAGTGACAGTCATATTCGGTGACTTTTCAGAGTCATCATCATCATCATCAACTACAGCATGACATCAGTGCTCAACACCAATGCTTCACTGCCGTACAGCCATGACTTATTTGAAAGCCTTATTGTAAAGAAAAGAATAAAGGTGGATGAGGGAGGGACTTAGTGCTAGCTTAACACAATCATTCCGAGGTGCCTACACCTCCAGACATTCATTCAGGCAATCTGGACACAAACTGACAACAAGAACGCCACTGACATCGGTTGGCAGCCATATCTTGTAGTGTCTCCAACCAGGCACAGTGAGGATCACGCGGTCCCCATCCTGGAAGGCGAGTAGCACCGACAGCACCCAAGCGTTTCGTGATCTCCTTCATACTCCTCTGCCAGGTCATGGGTTGGCCACCTCTCTGTTTACGCCACTCCGAATTGGGTATGGAAAATAGTACTCTTTTCGGTAAACGATGATTCGGCATGCGTAAAACATGTCCCAGCCAACGCAGCTTCTGGT